CGATGTAAACACATAATCACTTTGAAGAAATTCATCAGAATAAATTCGTGAAGAAATTGTTCATGTTAAAACGGGTATAACCGTGTATAACCAACACACCATCGTTTTTGGTACTTATTCGGTGCGGCAACAATGCCCATCACCTCCTCTCATTGTAGAGGGTAAATAAACTGGAAGCACGAGGGGTGCGTTTGTAAATCACTTGGTAATGCAATACGTATACAGATAGGCAGATGAAATTTTACTCTGCGATACTATCAAACTTTATTTCCAGAACGCCTAAATTATTACAGAGTCATGTAACGATACTCACGTTTTCTGCGACCATTGAATTTATTATAAGATACGTTATGGATACAAGGTAACCCATTTATCGTAAAAATGTATATTCTGCCAATTTTGAACACTTTTTGATAACGGAATAAAGTAAATAAACAATGATCCATGAGACTGACAAGTAGCAGCACTCTTTTCCCAAGCTTTTGAGTACGGGAAGAAAAGAGCACTTTTGACGTTGAAGCAGGATTAGAATAGAAATGATTTATTTAGATTCAAGCTACTTCAAACAATAATAAATATTATTTACAAAAAATGTGTTATATTTATAGACTCTTCAAAGTCCCTTTACATGTTTTTACATTAATAGGCAGATTATTGTACATTTTTGGACCTTCAACAAACATTGAGAAGGTGGAGCCTAATTAGTGATAGTTTCATATAAAAGAATTAAATTTGGGGTATGTTAAAACAATTCAATGTCTAGCGTATCCCATATAGAGGTATACCTGCTATCATATAACAAAATCCGCATACATTTATTTAATAGAATTTGTAACTTTTGTTTTTCTTCATTTGTGCATGTAATCAAAAGTGGTTTAAAATCAAGAAAGATTATTGTATTATAACTACCCTTCTGCACCGAGGACTTGAATTGTCACAAATATGGAAATACCCAATCTGTTTGCCAATTTCCGACACATATTGTGCTGATATTATAATACCTAAATATTTAAAACTATTTACAAAATCAAGGAACTCTTCCTCAATTTTCACTGACAAATATAAATCAACTAATTTCTTGCAATTATTTTTAGAACCTATGATCATACAGTTCGTTTTTTTCACATTTAATTTTATTTGTTTTTAACCATGAAGTAAGTTTGTCCATTTCATTACATCTACTATTCCACTACTTACTGAACCGCTAAGTGAAATTAATGCATCATCTGCGAGCAAATTTATACAGAATGAAGAGCAATGGGCCTAGTACGCTGCCTTGAGGTACACCATGATAAACAGAAACATTAATTGATATTTTACTTTAAATTTTTACCATTTAAAACCGCCCTGATGAATAATCACCCATTCTCAAGAGGGCTGAACCCTTAATTCCATACAATTCAGATTTTCTCAACAACAATACTCTGTCAATAGTTTCAAATACTCTTTTTAGGTCAACAGACACACACACACGATCACTGCCATCATCTACAGTGGACCCCCGATAATCCGGCCCCTGTCTAATCCGGCGCACCCTGTAATCCGACATGTCTTTGAATATGTATTACATACATACGTATTTGACAATCTTCGCTAATGTAGATCAAGCAGGTTTGAACAGGTTACAACTTATACGCGCCACCGCTATCGTGCTCGACGCGTAAGCATTGTTTTACTTAGTTTGAATTTGACTACTGGTGATAGCGGTACAGCCTCGCGTGCGTTCATTGTTTACTATTTATTCATTGTGTATTAAGTATAGTACCTAGTAATGTCATCACAAACTCAGAAGCGAAAGCACAAAACATTGACAATTAAAGAAAAATGTGATATTTTAGACCGCTTAAATCGTAATGAAACTTTCAGTAGTTTAGCAAGTGAATACGGCGTATGCCGATCTACAATTTATGACATTAAAAGGAACCACGAGAAGATCAAGAAGTTCGTGTCAACTACTGACTGCGGGCCAGGCAAGAGACAGACACTCAAAAAAGCTGAACATCCAGAAGTGGTAGAAGCTTAGTACATGTGGTTTCTTCAGGAAAGAAATAGGCATGCACCAATTTCAGGACCTATGTTGGCCATGCAAGCTAAGTTTTTTTGTAAGGAAATAACAAAAAAAGATGATTTTGTGGCCAGCAAAGGATGGCTAGAACGTTTTAAGAGTCGTCATGGCATACGTTTAATGACTATTACAGGAGAGAAACTTTCTAACGATGCCACCTGCATAGAGCCCTTTAAATTAAGATTGTTGCAAAAGGTGAACGATTTAAATCTTGACCCGTCACAGGTGTACAATGCAGACGAATCAGGGCTTTTTTGGCGAGTGATGCCTAACAAAACTTTCGTTTCTTGTAACGAAAAATCCGTACCTGGACGAAAAGTAAGTAAAGAGCGTGTAACCATACTACCATGTGCTAGCGCTGCGGGCACACACGCGGTTAAGATGATGGTCATTGGGAAATCTAATAAACCACGGGCATTCAAAAACATTGATTTACCTGTACACTATTACGGACAAAAAAATGCATGGATGACAAAAGACCTTTTCAAAAAGTGGTTTGATGAATGCTTCGTACCTGAAGTTAGAAAATGGTTAAAAGATCATAATTTTCCTCAAAAAGCGTTGTTGCTTCTGGTCATCCGTCTGAAGAAGAACTAACAACTGAGGATAAATGCATCACTGCCATGTTTCTTTCGCCAAATTATACTGCATTGATTCAACCAATGGACCAGAATATCATTCAGTTTGTCAAGCAAGACTATAAGAAAAACCTACTTCTGAGAGCCGTATCAAAAGACCAACCAATAGAAAAAACTTTACAAGAATTTAATATGAAAGACTTGGTTCTTGCTTTGTCAGTCGTGGAATGCGTTACCGTCGTCAACTATTAAATCGTCTTGGAAAAAGTTATGGCCAGATATAGTCACCACTCCTAGCAACGTTCCATAAATCAGTGTAACTTCGGAAGTTATAGAACAAGTCGCTACTGAAACACAGATAAGTCCGGAAGATTTGGAAATCTGGTGCCGTGGAATGGATAAAGAGGAAAATGTTTTTCATGAAAGGTCGGACGAAGATATTATAAAAGAGGTTTCTAATTATACAACAAACAATCAGGAAAATAACGACGACGTGATTGCAACTGCTCCACAAGTCACAGCACAAGACGCAATTAACGCCTTTGAGCTAGGTTTACAATGGGCTGATCGCGTTATAACAACCTTAAAAAAAAATTGATGATATTTCCAAGCTTCATAATTTGATAAATTCATTAATGATTTTGATTAATAATTCTTGATTATTTTGGTACATATGTATGTGCATTTATGCTTAATTTTATAATAAAACATAAGCTCTCTATTGTTATTTAATTTACTAAATTCGACATACATAAACTATGTATGATTTGTACTTCAAAGTACAAACATATATAATCTTACCATTGGATATGTAATTTGTCGGATTACAAGGTACTCTTTTGTAAAAAATTCCGACTATAGGGGGTCTTAGGCAGTGCTCTATAATCCGACAAATTCGATAGTCCGACACTGCCCTGCATAATGTTTGTCGGATTACCGGAGGTCCACTGTATATCTTTTTTCCACTTCATACATACACTCATACACATATAAACTGTCATGCAGCTTCACAAGAATGATTCCTTCTGAACCCGGATTGCTTTCTCAAAAAGAACACTGTTCACAGGAAAATGTTGACTCAGTTCTGGGTTCTGTTTGTTCATGTACTATTATTTCCATAATTTTATCGTCGACTGGCGTTAGATTGATGGCCGACTTACGTGGATTGTCTATTTCCCAACGCATGCATCAGGTACATGATATGTATTTAAATATATTCTGAAGTTGTTACACTTTGCAAACGCAACCTGGAACTTATGTTTGGATTATATTAAAAGCCCAGTCGAGGACTGGGCAACGAAAAATTTGTTATAGACTCATTTTCTCATTTATATTGTTCCCCTCCACGGAAATCTTTAGTAAAAGGCGAAAGATTTATTCGCTTTGAAGGGAAACCAGAGTAACGACAAAATCTACATCAACAGTTTTGGTAAATTTTGTCGACCGTTTGTAATCTAGCTGAGGGATGCTGCCATCTGTTAACATGGATAGGATACCGTTATTCACGAGGGGAAAATAAACTGATCGATAAGATGCAGAATCCTATGTTCGTCGGTTGTGCATACCTGGTTGCCTATAAGAAAGTAAGGTAGTGTTTGGTCATTCGATTTGGCCTTTTGTATAAGAAATATATCATCGATATTATAAATAAACTACAGAACGCGATTGTAAACAAAACAGCGTCGACAATGAAAGCAGGGCAAGACCAGGCAGGAATGCTCATGACATCACATCCATTCGGAAATTTAATAAAGGATTTAAAAAATCGGTCCTTTGAACAAGTGAATATCGATATTTAGATGCGATAGTCCGTAACGTTAAATAGCCCTGAGTGACAAGGGTAAGTCAAATCTTCAGACGTAAAAGGCACAAGTGTTTCCATATGCTGTGGTACAGCCAATGAACTGTCAACACTGATGGGACAGGCGAATTCATTGCTGCTAGAATGAGAACCGAGAAGGATAGCGCTAGTCAGGGCAAAACATTGGCAAAACATCGTGGTCCATTGTGGTATTTCCATATATGTTCTAAGGATTTTTGGTGAATGTTTGTTTTTAGTGACGTTAAAGATTAATAGTGATAGTTTGCGACAATTATTATAAACATTTTTATGCCGGACAGCCTTCAAGAGCTGTTGTTTTATGTGATATTTGTTTAAAAATGGTTGAATCTTGCAGTGCGGTGAATTGTTGCAATAGACGCAGAAAAGATGTGAAAATGAAGTTTCACAGATTGGTTTTAATCATCTCATTCATTTTTGTGTGAGAATTACATGTTAATTGGTAATTCGAGAAAATATCTGGATTTTTAGGATACCTACAGATCCTAACATGAGGAAATTGTGATTACATGCTATAAGAAGAGAAAACTTTACTCCCAGTACAACAACGGTAATTTGTGAAAAGTATTTCACTCCAGAGGATTATGAAGTTAGTGTTCATGGAAATAAGGTACTAAAAAAGGTGGCAGTTCCATCTATGTTTGATTTTCCAGCCCATCTCAAGAAAGAACCTAGCCATCGAAGGGTTTTGAAAAGAAAACATGAAGAATCCAACTCAAAAGCAACAGGTATGGTCTTTAAAATATTCCGAGTCTAAGCTTAAGGTTTTAACTGTTCTACTTTTAAAAAAGATATTTAAATCGATGAAGTGGGTCTTAGTAACGTAATTATTTTTAGAACAAACTTTGGCTATTGGTGAAGTAGTAGAAGAACCTGGAAATGGCGATCATGCTGATGATGGAAATATATTGGCAGCTGGTCCTTCAAACGTAACACAAAAACTAGGATTTTTAGAATCAAGTGAACCTTCAAACATATGCAATTTAAGGTAATTGTCATTGAACTTTGTGTTTCTCATTTGTTACAACCTCTTTTTGTTTGTAGGGTCAGAAGATCAGCAGTATACTTTGGGGATTTCAAAATTTCTGATTTAAATAATGTGCAGCGTCGGAAGAGATTTTGGAAAACTGCTCATGAAACTGTTCATAAGTACAAAAAAATTAACAAGTACAATCAGTGTAAAATTAGTAGACAAAGAAATAAATTAAAAAGTCTGAATAGTCTGGTAGATGACCTACTTAAGGAGAAGAGAATATCCCGATCAGTGACAACATCTGATTCTGATTGCATGCTGCTGAATCGGAAAAATAGAGGAGGTTTAATCAAGCCTACAAGAGATGTTGTAAAAATTTGTATGGTTGCAGAAGGTATAATAAAAACTGAAACAAACTTTTTCATCCTAATATAATATTAAGATTGGTCTTTGCTGCAATGAGAAATTTAAATTTGAACAAGGATTTTTATGTTTATCTAAGCACTCTCTAGAGCAAGACCCACTTGATGGACATATCATTCAATTGGTCAGACTTATGAAAAATTATGTCACTATTCGGCTTCACCACACAAATTCCACAAAAAATCAAATAACAGACAGAATTAGGCAAAAAGGTTAACAAAAGTGATTCATTTTAAAAATCAGTAAATCAGCAATTTTTAAATTAGGTATAAACATATAAATTCACAGATGAACCCACTACTCATTAATAATCTTTTAAAACTTCCATTTAATTTTTTTATCAGGGACATAATTTCTAGAATGAACTATGGTATAACCTATATTGTATTATAATGAAAAACTGTGCATCTACAGTATTGTTACTGTCATTGTGCACAAATATTTTGTATACATATATATATATATATATATATATATATATATATATATAAGGGTTTTTTCTTTGTACACTTTAATCTCTACAAAACTGGACGTGTTCCCACTACATTTAGTGTTGATACAGTACTATAAAAATAAATTTAAATGTGCATAAATACTATTTGGAACATTATAAAGATATATAGAAAATAACATGTATTTATTGTGATATTTCTTAGATCTCTTATTTTTTATATGTAAGATATAGCATATTAGAGCAGTTAAGTTAATTATAAGCAGACATGTAATCTCTTTGCTACCTGAATTATTAATTACTTATGTTAAATACTAATTTTTATATCTTCAAATGTGTAAATGAGAATTTATTGTCAAGTTTCATACATATGTATATATAAATAAATAACCTCGTACATAGCACACATCGACATTACAACTACTGATACGAGGCGCCAAAGTTCTTAACCCTTCAATGTAGACAATTATAAGGCCGACCACCCAAGCAAGACAAACGCCACGTTGTGCCATGGCGTCTGATTAGTTACAGCTCCGAACGTGAGAGGTCGTGAGTGTCGCAGTAGCCGTTGTACGCCTGAGAAATTTTAACAACTATGTTTGTCGTCGCATCGGAAAGCATACTTACCTGGCGTAGGGGTTACCGTGATCATTAAGGCGGTTCCCCCAGGGTGAGGCCCTTTCATTGCACTACGATTGGGCTGACCCCTGCGATTATCCCTAATGCGGATAACTCGGGCGCGTAATTTTTGGTAGTCGGGACTGCGTACGCGCTGTCCCGGTGATAAATTAATCTAAACATAATTTTCCATTATCGTCAAACAAGTCTTACTTTTAATGTTTTAATTTTCACTCTATCTTATCTGCGTTTACACATTGGCAGTGGTTTTGACTTGACTAAATACTAAAATCAAATCCAAGCGAATAACCAAAATTTCCGTATTATGACCGCGGTTACAATATGGTTCAAGATGAAACACGGGATGATGACGCATTTACTCGAATCGCTTGAACGCGTTGGTTTTAACCGCGGTTTGTTGCAAGTTGTTTATTTTAGAAAAGCGCGTATATGGCAATATAGTTTCTGTTTTCGTCTACAACGGGGTATGGAAAGTTGAAAAAAAGAAAACTTTCATAATATTAATGGCAGGAATGTTTTTTTTCAGAAAAACATTTTTACTGATGGAACCATGGCTTTGTAGCTATGATAACTTTCAATTATCTAAACTTTTCCGCATGTCAAAGAAAATATTTATTGATTTAGCAGAAATGATGAAAAAGCGATGAAGGAAAGATATTAACAAAACCGTATACAGGTGGACATCATCCAGTGAGTTTATATGGCGATATTTTAATATTCCTGTGGCTATACAGGATACTTTGTTGCGTAGGAACTAGATTTAAAGTGTCCCCAACAACAGTAATGATTATAAATAATAAGGTGCTTTCTTATGCTAAAACTGAAGTCAGCCTGTATCAAGTTTCCCAAAAATGAAGCTGAAGTACAATAAAAATATCCAATACCCGGCAAAATTCTAACTTGTCACATGTCAAATAATAACCAGAAATATAAAACTACTCCTGAGTTGGGTAAATACCACAATTTTGCGGTGATAACTATGACATATAACGGCTGATTCATGACGTCACGAATCTTATAACCAAACTGATAACCACACTCGCTTGGACGGATCGGTAAATACCAATCCAAAATGGTAAATACCATTTTCTTTGGTTATCCGCTTGAATTTGATTTAAATGTAATTTTGTTTGTTTGCATGTTGCACCAGGTGGAATACGTTAATACATTTGCTGCAGTTTGCAATCATTTTCGGGCTGTAAGCTGAAACCGTGCAGTGAGAACGAGAACAGGATCTCTATCCTAGGCCCTTGTTTACCACATTCTGACAGATTGCGTATTCGAAAAGTCCAGAATAGCCGCTGCAGGTTAGTGTACGGGATAAGGAAGTATGATCACATTTCACATAATGAAAATGAGCAAAAAGGAAAGAAAAATATAATTTAATTAAAATTATTAAATGGAATGTCATTGTTTAAATATGGAAAATAGAGATATCTTCATTAGAACACAGGGTTTATCTCAAGCAAATAAATGTGCTCGTATGACTATAAAAAAATCCACTGTGTCAAATATTTGGAAAAACCGTGAAAAAATTGACAATAACTGGAAATCAAATAGTCAAAAGAAAAAAATGCGGCTATCGCTGCTTCCCTAAGTCGATGATATGCTGTTTAAACGGTTTCAAGAAAAGCGTGCTAATAATTTTCCAATAAGTGGACCTATGCTGCAAATAAAGGCTGAAGAATTTGGGAAATTGATTGGAGATTACTTAAAATGTAGTTCCGGTTCGCTAGACAGATTTAAGAAAAGACAAAACAGTTTTCATACAATGATTGGTATTGAATAGTGAAAAGGTTACTACGAGTGATGTCTTAAGTTTTGCATATGGAAATAAAACAATACGGTAGGTAGTTTTAAATGACTTTATTGTTTTTCGAAGTATTCTCCACGAAGATTAATACATGCGCTCGAACCAATTTTCGAAGCACTTATTCCACTGGTTTGCTGGCAGATCCAAAACGGCATTTTTGAATGCGTCAACTGCTTCTTCTGGTGACTGGAACCTTTGACCACGCAGTCTGTTTTTAATTTTCGGGAAAGTAAAGAAATCGTTAGGACTTAGACCGGGACTATATGGAGGATGGTCCAAAAAATCCACATTTTCTTCCGTTAAATACAGCCTTGTTTTTTGGGCTGTCTGCGAGCTTGGATTGACTTGGTGGAAGATGATTCCTCTTTCGGGGTTGATTTTTCTAAGCTCGCTGATGACTTTTGACAAACAAATGGTGGTATACTAATCCGCAGTAACAGTTCTTTGCTCATTAAGAGGAATTGTTGCAATATGACTCGCTTTTGACACAAATATCGCGAACATCTTTCTCGAAATACTTCGAGAACGGACGACTTTTGTTGGCTTTTCTTCACCTTGGAACACCCAAACAGCCGACTGTTTATTCTCTGGTTCATAACAGTAAATCCAAAATTCATCACCACTAACAATGCTGTACACATTTTTTGAGTTTCCGGAATTGAAACGGTCAAGCGTTTTTTGACACCAATTAACCCTGGCTGCTTTCTGCTCTTCAGTCAACAGGTGGGGTATCCAACGAGAAACTAATTTTCTTACTCATAATTCTTCATGTAAAATTTTTTGAATTGAGGTCTTTGATATCTTCAAGGACGCCTCAATTTCGTGATATGTCACATGTCTATGTTCAATGATGTTTGCGCACAGCATCGACGTTTTCCGCCGTTTTTGGTGCACCCGCCCTGGGATCGTCGCTAAGACTCACCCGCTGTCCACGTTTGAATTATTCATACCAACGGAAAACTGTCTACTGATGTGGCGCTTCGTTGCAGAAAACAGGCAGCAAGGCATTCCTTGTTGCGATAATTGCTCTGAAAGTTGTTCTGAAAGTTGTAATAAATTATGGCGCGAAAATGTTCTCGGTTGAGTTCCATTTTTCTAATGACTTGGTGACACTTAAAATTTCACTGTAATGAGAACACTGCACGTATTGTTGTGAAACTTTCAATTTAAGTTTACCAAATTTGAATTTATGTTTTGATTATTTTAACACCGGGACAGCGCGTACGCAGTCCCGACTACCAAAAATTACGCGCCCGAGTTATCCGCATTAGGGATAATCGCAGGGGTCAGCCCAATCGTAGTGCAATGAAAGGGCCTCACCCTGGGGGAACCGCCTTAATGATCACGGTAACCCCTACGCCAGGTAAGTATGCTTTCCGATGCGCCGACAAACATAGTTGTTGAATTTTGTTAGGCGTGTAACGGTTACAGCGACACTGACGTCCTCTGGTATTATGAACGGTAACTGATAAAACGCCATGACAAGTCAGCGTCAACCTGTTTCGGTGCGCGGAGGCATATTTACCTACAGCGAACGGCGTAAGAACTGTCGCGCCACATTTACCCAGTATTTGTAACTATATTGCATTTCCAAGATGGATCAGGACAAGTTCTGCCTATCAGCTCAGTATCAGTCATTTCATGTTTTGTGCGTTTCATATCCTCTATGTTACAATGTAAATCGTAATAATATGAACATTTTCAACCGCAGAATTGGAAGCAAATTACAAACTACAATAATGTCGCGCCTCCTAGAAATGCCATGGTGATACAATGTTCGACTTAACTGGTTGATAAAGATACCTAAACAGATCAAGGGGAAAACTAGAAAACCCAAAATTACTTTTCTGAAGGTATTTGCAAATAAAATATACCATATTCATAAATAATATCCATTTCATCCTAGCCGTCGGTAAAACCACAGATGTAAATTGAAGAATTTCTAACGTTTCGGCCACCTTGATGGCATTTCACATTATACTTTGAAAAAAGTATTTTACTATTTTAGTCTAGAAGAGGAACCAGTGATAACGAGGGACTTTGGTAACGATAGTGGTGAATGAACACTGATGATGAACAGTCAAAGTCACAAGATAAAAGTGTTTAATGTCAAATTGGATGTGGACTATTTAACAGTTTGAGAAATTTTGTCGTAGAATTTGCGTTAAAATCGGTTATTTGGTGGAATAGGACTAACCGAAGAATCGGTACATCGGACGACCTGATAATGCACACGCACTTCACTGAACATTTTCTTTGGATTAAATGAAATGGGCCGATCCCGGAGGT